TAATCTAAAGGCAATAGTATTAGTTTGGAGGAAGATCGGTTGTTGGAAGAAGAAAAACCATCAACTATTTTGGTATTTTATTGGATTGCCTCCACTCAACTATTTTATGAGGGAATAGGTTCATTGGAATCACCGATCAAGGTGTGTGTGCAATAGGGCTATTGTTCTTGTTTTCTAGATATCTAAACAGCAAATATCCTTAGATACGATGAGAGGCATTTTGCCTGACGGTGGTGCTTTACAAGTTTTTGTAAATTTTCTAGTGGCTTTTTATATTTCTATAATTTCTATTATATTTCTTCGTTTTTATGTTTTTTTATATTACTCTCCAATTTCTAGTCTTTTTTTTTTGTAATTTCTAGTTTTTCTTTGTTTTTGTAATTCTTGTTATTTGTCTTCATTTTCTATGTTTTTCTATAATTTTTATTATATCATTATGCAATTTCAGTTTTCTTTTGTATTTTTTGTACTTTATATTTTTGTTATTATTCTATGTATTTCTTTGGTTTTTTCTATTTTTCTTCATTATTTGTATTTTTTGCAATTTTTAGTTTTGTTGTACTTTATGTTATTCTTTGCATTTTTCTATTTTTTATCTCATTTAATTAATGAAAATTTAATGGGTTAGGCGGGTTGGATTGGGTTATGGCGGATTTGGTTTGAACCCAAATGGGTCATTAATAGGTTGGCAGGTTAGGTGGGTTGGATTGAAGCTCAACCCAAACCCACCCAATTGCCACCCCTAATGGGTAATAGAGAAGTTCGACCATACATGAACTTACCTAACCCTAAAACATCATTGTCAATTCCCCATACATGGATTCTAATGGGACAATTCAAAATTTTAATTTGTATCTGTGATATTTGACAATAGTAGTGTTTTGTTTTGGCCTTCCCTTGTGTGGCTCCACCTATTAGACACGAAAGAGGGGTGCCTAGCCTCTTCGATCCCTCTCCCATCCAAGTCTTACATAAACTGGTTCAATAGGTGCCTTGTATTTGGAGTCACTATTAATTGGAAAATGGTTTTGCCATTATTCTTAGAGGCCCCATCACTTCAGTTTCTCTTGAATGATGGGTGGCGACTCTAAATCAGCCTAAGTGAATCATTTACTGACGCTTACAATTATCATGAAGAAAAAAAAATGATAGTAATGTGGCTTATTATTGTGTAGAACCCATTTTTTTTTTGTTTCATATGTATTTATACTTTGAACCTTGATTTTAACACTTATTAAGAGTGAGAATCTTCATGGACAAAATGAAGGATAATTTGCCTCAATGGAAATTGAAATGCTATCTATTTGTGTTATGTTGTATGAATGTTGTTTAATTTCTTAAGAAAGCTTTAATGGAAATAGAGAGAATTCAAAGAAACTTCTAGTGTAAAGGATCAACTAAGAACCAAGGTTAAGATGGGCAAGCTAGAACAAATTGTGTGCACCTAATAAGGAGGGAGCTTGGGTTTAAACAAATATAATTACTTAACAAAGCTTTGTTATGCAAACTTTCTTGGAGATTTTTTAGAGAGTCTAAGGCATTATGGGTAAGATTATTAAAAAGTAATCATCTTACTAATAATGAAATCACCCCAAGTAAACTTATTACTTCGATTTTTCCAATTTGGAAAACTTTGTGTAAATATCTATGAATTTTATTTCCTCGTTTGGGTGTTCATTTGTGTAATGATTCTCAGATTGATATTTAGAACTTCCATTGGATTATTAAGGACAACTGAATGGGCCATTCAAGGTGTTCAAATAAAAAACTAGTACTAAGGGATTTAATGAATCCTTCAAGAAGTACTTGGGATAAAAATAAAGTGGATCAAATCTTTGGCATTGAAGATGTTAATGATATTTTAAATTCATATGTTTTTCATACATATGAACAAAGATAATATTCTTTGGATGGATTTGTTAAGCCTGCATTTCAAAACGATGCAAATAAGTGTGAATGCAAATATATAGAGTTTAAAACGGTCCACATAAATTGCAAAGTTGGATTAATTTTGCATTAACAAATTTACCTTCTTACCAGACTTTTAGGTGTAATGGATGCAAACACGAATTCCAATAAAGCATATGTCATTTTTTATCAAAAGCTCAATTGAATGCAAATTTATTTATTTTTATTTATGTACTTTACGTCTTATTATCATTTGTTAATGCATTGGAAAATGCATTGGAAAAGTGTCTTCTATCATTTATTTATGTACTTTACGTCTTATTCTCATTTTTTTTATTTATGTAAATATGCATTGGAAAATGTGTCTTCTATCATTTGTTAATGCATAAATGTAATGTTGCCAAACACAGGCAAAAATGAACCAAAGTACAAATTTACCTTGAACCAGGATTTACACTCCATTTGCATCATTAAGTGTGATGATAACAAACACATTTAGAGTATTGATAAATGGTGTTAAGTGTGCAATTGCATCCATTGAGCTAAAAATGTTTCACATATTGCTATAAAAAGCAAACCATAAATTAAATGCATTGACAGCTGTAAATCAAAGCTCACAAGTGAATTAGTTGGCATTAGGCTAGTAGAGGATCTCTCCTCACATATAAGGGATCATGGCTTGGGCCCGGCCTAGGCTTTGCACATATGATAATCGCTATATGCTAGGCCTGAGTTCTGGGCTTGAAGCATAAGACCAAGTCGGGGCTAGGCCAGGTATAATTATGGGCTTACCACTGAATGGCATATAAAAAAATTTTATACATTATATAATATAAAATATCATATACAATTTATACTAAAAATTTCATATTTTGATATTCATATAAAATATATAACATAACACAAAATAACATATATACATGTATATACATTTTATATAAAATGCATTTATTTAATTAAAATTAACTAGGCCAAGCTTGGCTTGAAGTATTAAGCCCAAGCTCGACCCTAGAATTTACAAGTCCAATGCGGCCCTGACTTTAGCCCAGGTTGATATGATCACCGTTATCCTAGCAACAAAATTCGAAGTTTGTCGTAACAAAAAGCATTGGGTATATTTTACGTGCACCTTCCAATAAAAAAATCACCACAGCATTTAAAAAAAGAAAATTATGCCTCCTCCTCTTCTATGAAATTGAATTGTTTTCCCTTTTATAATGTCACTTCATTTTTGTTTATGTCCGAGTTCTTTCTATTTTGTTTGTTTAATTAGTCTACCTTTTTATGTTCATTAATTTTGTCTTATTCTTATTAATACAGGGACAGAGCAACTGTGAAATACGGCAATTGGTGCCTTGTTCTATTACACAGGGAGTATATCCTAGAGAACCTGGTTATATGGTTTTGTCGAAATACGACCACAATGCAGCACATCCGAAAAATCATTTACAGAATATATACTCCTATGAAATGGCCTATGGCAAGGGAGGGTTCAAAGAAGAGGAGAGTAAGGACGAAAGAGAGGAAGATTAGAGATGTTTCACATTGCTGCATATGTTAGGTGGTGGTGTTTTAGGGAAGAAGATAATAATGATTTGCACCGATTAGGTTCACTACCCTCACCATCATTTGTGCTGTTAGAGTGACCTAAGAGCTTCGTCTCTCTTGGTTGAAACTCGAAGAAGGGGGAGAGTTGGGTAAGGTTTATCATTAACTCCCGTTGACATGGCAAAATTCTATTCGAGGGCCTATGTAAATAATGGACTGAAGGGTCCATGGAATGCGAGTATTTTGCATTTGGATTCTCCTCCAATCACAACTTACCTTTTTTTTAGATTCTCATTTTATCTTGCTCCAATGTCCCTACGGGCCATTTGGCTAATAAAGCATGTGTTTTGCTATGTGAACATTTTGTGATAGACATTTATCATAACACCGTTATGACACTACAAAATCATTATTTTTCTCATTATACTCATTTGTATGCATTGACATTTACAGAACTGGGTTTTGATTTATGTATGCATCAACTGCTGGGGGAAGTTTCATTTTAACGCTTCCTCCAATGGTTGAACGTTTATTCATTATTCTGCTGATGTGGCATCTAATGGTGCCTAATGACACATAGCTGTTAATAAATAGTTTATCAAGTACTTTTTCTCGGTTTTAAAGACAATTCAAATATAAACGTTTATTTAATAAATGGAAGCTATAACAAAGACATACAAAATAACTCTCTTAAGATTTCTTCAACTCATTTTGGATAGACTCTAATGCCCTTTTTCCTATTCAAGTGGTGGGATCTTTGAGTCCATATAACATTTCTACCAAAAAAACATGGGATTATAGATCCCAACTTGGGACGTAGAATCCCACCATTTTGGTGGGAACACAAGTGGGAATGGAGGCGAAAACTTGTTTAACAAAGAAAGCACCTTGTACTATTTCTAAGAGTTAATATTAGAGACCCATGACCCATTAAATAATAAGAAGTATTATTAATTAAATAATAAAGAACAACAAAATAGTTAATAATTAATTAACTAGACAATTAATGAATAAATAAATAATAAAAATGTGAAATAATTAAAAATACAAAAAGTTATTAGTTAATTCATAATAAATATAAATTATGAAATAAAAATAAAAATATTAAATAGTAATTAATTAACTATCTATAATTGCATAATTAATTATAAATAAATTAATAAAATATTAATCATAGATATAAAATTTAAATATTACTAATTATTCAATTAATTAATTAGTAATTATTATTATAATTGATTTTCCCAATATTTTACCTTTTGTAACCAAACAATGAAACATTAAAAATTTCCACCCATCTTCTCTTTTTTATTCCACACTATATTTTCTTGACCTGGTCGGTTCACAACTAGATTTGCCAGGTTCCCCTCGCCTGAGCAGGAATAACATTGAACCGGATTCCCTCGTTGCCACGTCACGAGTCCACGATTGTCGACCCGTTCTTCTCGTGTCGTGACATAGTGCGGCGATTTTCTATCATCATCTGCCGTGGGCCCGTGACGAGAGAATCCGTTGCTCAAAAGCGAAAAAACGCGACTATTGTCATTTGTCAAATGTCTTCAGACGACCGCGGAGTCTTAATGGCAACAGGAACAGGAGAATCAGAATAATGCACTAAAAAGGAATCTGGAGTTTTCCTTCTCCTGCACGCCAGCAAGCATTGAAGTGGGTGTGAGGCCAAGCATAGTTTGGTTGAGAAACATTGATATCGTTTTCAATTTGCACGCTGTAACTTCACTGAAGCAATGGAAGTTTCAAGCAATGAAGACACAGAACAGAGCGATACGTCAGTGGCTTCATCGACCAGCATCCATTCCATGGATAACGGGAATCGGTCGAGGGCATTGAAAGATCCAAGGATCATAGCTAGAAGGTAGGCAATCGAACGATTTCTGCTTATTTCATCTCTTGTTCTTCCCTAGTGTTGCAGCTTGCAGTTAACCTTTGTGAAGAACTGAATTTTTTCTAGTTAAATATGGTTATTCTTTTGTTTGGTTTTGTCAGCTATCAATTAGAGCTTTGTAAGAAGGCTCTAAAGGAGAATGTAATTGTGTACTTGGGGACGGGTTGCGGGAAGACTCATATCGCAGTGCTGCTTATGTATGAGCTCCGTCACCTGATCAGTAAACCTAAGAAAAACGTCTGTGTTTTTCTTGCACCTACGGTACCTCTGGTTCGGCAGGTGAGCTTTCTTTGTGACTGATTCTTTTGTTTTCTCATATGTCATTGAATATGTCGATTTGTTTGGGAATGATATAAATATCTTGTCGACATTCATTTGGGAGGTGTTCCAAAAGTCTTTGGGTAGTATTGCAACTTAGGTTTACCCTGTCTTCTGACAAAGGTACTACTCATTGTTCCTCGAACAAAGCTTCTGGAACTTGGGAGGATACTTTTCTTCTGATGATTCCTAGTTGGCAATGTAAGAGAAGTTGGTTTGGGTAGACTATATATATGCAGAGAAACACTGTTTCTTTTTCTTTTGTTCAAGGGGAAATACTGTTCCTAAGTGTGCTTTCTGGACTCTGGTCTAGTTGAGCACAACGTTGTAAAATGCGGGCGTTCCACTACCCTTTGTCTCTGAGGCCTGGCGTGTAAGCCTCCTGGGCATGTATTTTTAAATAATAAACAATAACAAATAAACAAGAAAGAGGAAAATTTCCCAAAAAGGGAAAATTATAGCTGTAGTTTCTAATAACAAAGCTATCATATCAAACAAAAACATATATTTTATTAACTCCACCTGGAGTTTGTTAAAGATCTGTTAAATTGTTATATTCCCACTTGTACAACTGGGTCCACTTGCTCTCTTGCCAACTGTCAATTAGTTAGGTCTCTGTTATGTAACCTCTATTCATACCTCTCCACTCATTAATGAAACAAGAATTTTTTCCTCTCGTCAAGATTCCACATTTTAAGCATGATAACATCTATAAAGCTTGATGTCAATTGCCAAATTGTCAATAGACTCAATACATCTTCCCTGTGTCGACCAACCATCGCATTTGGACCCTCCATCCTGCTGGTAGGTTCTCAACCAAGTCCTTTTTCAAGGCTTTGACAGATGAATAGCATAACACTTACTTCCCTTCTAAGAAGATTTGGTCCTCTCATATTTTCCCCAGAGTTGGTTTCTTTGTGGTAGAGGTTTGTCGGAGAAGAATAGCACATGTGATCTGATTCAAAACTCAAAAGAAGAATCATGGCAAACTCTTTTATTTTATTTTTTGTGAATGGATAACATTTATTGCAATTTGCAAAAGAAAGCAGGAAAGACATGGCAGACTTTCTATTTTCCTTCATGCTTGCAGGCTTGCAGCTTATGCCTTCATGATGGAGAATTTGCTGGAATCTCCTTTTACACTGTCAAGAATCAAGGAAAGCATGAAACTATTTTCTACATCCTGGATTTCCTATCATCCTATGGCAGTGGAATGGAAGAGAACCTAGCAGAAGAGGGTAGATCTATTGAGATACACAAGCAACTTCAGAGACATAAAGGGATGCATTTGGAATGTTTATTTCTATTTTTATTAGAAGTTGATTGGAAACCAGGCATTGCTGCAGGTCAGGCATTGGTGTTGTTTTCAGAACTCTCAAGGATATGTTTTTGATGGTTTATTCAGGCCCTAGTGGGAATGTAAACTTCATATGGGATGAACTTCTCTCCCTTCTACATGAATTGTGGTTGGGCTACAAACTGGTCTTCACTAATTTAGAGGTTAAAGGTGACTCACAGGTTATTGTAGGCTGGATTTGTATGGGGCCTTGGGACCTTTCAGTTATTTCTCCATATTTGAAAACCAACATGGTTGGGCAGCAGCTTGAACACCTATTTTAGTGCTGTCTGTAGAATGTAGATAAACAAGTTCCATGGCAGATTCGCTAGCTGGAGGGGGGAATGGGGGATCCAATAGGCAAGATTTGTATTTGGATTCGTGATCCTTGGATTAGTGGCTGTAATCTTTATTTTGGGGGAGGGTAGGATGATCTGTAGCCCCTAATGGTTTTGATGAGGGTCTTTTTCTACTCTCTTTACCTATTAATGTGCTTTTTGAATTAATAAAATGTCTGCTCTGTTACGGATAAGAAAAAGAAAGGTAGCATTGCTTAACCTTCCTATTGGAGCCTCATGAGGTTATTGTTTGAAGCCCTAAATTTATTATTATTCATGAGGTTATTGTTTGAATCTGCCATGTTTTGGGGAAGGCAGGAGGAGAGTAATAGAAATTGTATCTATCTATCTATCAATTGCATATATTTGTTAGTGTTTTGCATTCATTTTTTTGTTTACTCTCTTAGTTAAGTATATCTTACTTGTATTTTTTTTCTCTCTATAGCAAGCGAAGGTCATTGAGGACTCCATTAATTTCAAGGTTGGTAGCTATTTTGGCAACTCAAGGCGTTTGAAGAGCCACCTTGAATGGGAAAAGGAGACTGAGCAGTATGAGGTTGGCCATGCTGTTTCTTTCTTTAGGGGATGTAACTTTTGCCTTGCTTTGTTTTTTTTTTGATGAATAATAATAAATTTATTAATTCAGAAGCTGATTTAGAGTTGTGAATTCATACAACATACCAGGGAGAGGCACAAGCTGCAGCCCCTCCTTGAATCTTACAAGTAAACTAGGAAAGAAATACAGGAATCACAGCTGAGTCTAAAACGATTCTTCCCTATTTACCCCTTGCTTGGCTAACACACCTGACAAAGTATTTGCTGATCTCCCCACCCACTGTACAGTGACCAACATATTCCTTGTCATTCGACTGAATTTCTTCATTTCATTCTTGTAGTGCCATATAGCATCTTCAGGATTTTCCAACCAACCCACCACCACTTTGGAATCCCCTTCGATTATTAGGTGCTGTACCCCCATCTGGTTTGCAAATTGCACCCCTTGTACAGCAGCTAATAGCTCTGCCCTGATAGAGTTCCCAACTCCTAAGGGACCTGAGTAGAGCAACAAAATCTCTCCCTTCTCATTTCTCAAAACACCCCCCATTCCGGATAATCCTGGATTACCCATGCTACTTCCATTAAAGTTCAACTTCAGTGTGCCTTCAGATGGCGGAGACCAACTTTTGCCTTGCTTTGTTGGATGGTCTTGAATTCACTACTCTTCATGGATGTGAAACTTGATTTGTATTGGAGAATAAGTTTGGCATTGCAATAAACTGTATGGGGAAAGAAGGGGGAGGGTGGGAGGTTAAGCATGATGGTTGCTTTTTTTTGTTTTTTTTTTTATTGGTAACTTTCAGCTGTATTAATTTATACTGTGTAATATGTACTGGTATAATGTTACATAATGGAAACCCTTTAGCCATCCTCAGCTACCTATTCCCTTTACACCCCATGTTAGTGATAATATTTGCAAAGGCTGTATTCTGTATTTGAAGTTCTTCATTGATCACCCTCCAATACAGCTGGTCTCTGTTGACTTCTTGTTTGGTTAAGGCATCTCTGTTAATCCATTTGTTCCTTTTCTGGTCCAATGAAGTTGGGCTCTTATTTTTTGTGCCACCTTCCTAGTTTCTATTACTATATGCTGAATTGCTGATTCTGCCATGGACCTAGCTCTTGATTAAACAGTTCAACACAATAATAATTTCCCCAAAGGTATCTCTGAAATTTTGTTACTTACCCACTTTGTGTCCTTGGAATGAAGCTAATAATTCAGCTTTTAGAGTGTAAACATGGTAAGTAACAGTGAGCAGCAGTGGAAGACAGCAACAGGAAAAGTGAGAAGAGAAAGAAGAAGAGAGAAAGGAAAACATAAGGTTGGAGAGAAAAGGAGAAAGGGACGAACTGATTAGGAGAGAATTAGAAGGTTCTAAACCTCCTATAGCACTTGGCTCACTATTTATATTAACATAATAAAAGAAGGTTTACATAAACTCCTCTGTTTATGATAAATTGTGGACAGGAGTGTCATTATAAAAGATGAAATGTCTAAACTACCCTGCTATCCATATACATTAGATATCACTAATGTCAGCAACTGAGAAACTATGATATCTCTAAGCTTTTATTAATTTCCCAAATTGATTTTGCTGAGTGAAGTATATTGCTTCTTGCCTTGCATATTCTGTATTGTTCCTGGGATTTTTCTATGTAATGTTTTGAATAAATAATATTTGTCTTTAATAATGTAAACCACTTTGTTCAATGTAGCAATCCCTTTTGATTTACATCCCTCTGTAACTCTGTTTATGCTGGGTTGTTCTGTATAGGTACTTGTTATGACCCCTCAAATACTTATCCGCAATTTACATCATTGCTTCATGCGAATGGAGCTAATTGAACTTTTGATATTTGATGAATGTCATCATGCACAAGCTACAAGCAGTCATCCTTATGCACAAATCATGAAGGTAGATGCAATTTCAAACTGAGCTTCTAATATTCCTGTCCGTCTTTTTCTTTAGTTTGATTTCTTGACATAGGTTCTATTGGTAATTGTACAGGAGTTCTATTATGCTACTTCCATGAAACGCCCACGTATATTTGGTATGACTGCATCTCCTGTTGTAGGGAAAGGTAACAATTCTGCCTTAGTTAAAATTTATAGGCATGGCTCAGTCTTAACTGTTAACCACCTCAATATATAATTTACTCTAAGCTCTTCAATTTTCCCCTGTTGTTAGTGATGCTTTCCCTTGTTAATAAGTCTACCTGGACTTTGAACGATCAAGAGAAGGGACAAGAAAATGAAATACATAGACACAAAGACACAATAAGTTAGTATTCAATTTTGAAACCTGGAATATAGAAGCAAGAGTCAAACCATTGACTACTCTAACATTCCCTTCCTAAAGATGGGTGCAAGAGATCTGTTTGCAATGGACACTTAGTCCCTTTTTGAGCACAAGGAATATGAATGAAACAGAAAAGGCAAGCTGGTCATATGGTCTGAGGCTCCTAAGTCTTAATCGGTATGTTTGTGATAGGAATCGATCAGCGCCCTTGAAGATTTATTCTAGAAAGAAGAAGGCCTTACAACAAGTCCTGATATGGCATAGTGATGGTACTTGGGATCTGGACTGAGTTGGACACCAAGGGTATTATTGTTATTTTACAATTTTTCTGTAGGGTGATAGGGTCCAACAATAGTGTTTGATTGTCTATTTATAGTTTGTTTATGTTTAAACCAGCGCCATTGCATAAGTAGGATTACAGTTATTGAGTTTTATTTGAATTGAAATAGGATATGAGGGCTTAGTTTGAGTCCTACTAGGATTATTGAGTCTAACAGTTTGACTCCTATGACTATTATGAGTCTAATAGTTTGACTCCTAGGATTATTATGAGTTTAGAGTCTATAAATATGTATGGACATTTTACACAAAGAGMAATGGAGTTTATTGAGTTTTCTTCAGCTTATTGCTAATTATGGTGAGTGATTCCCATACCTTAGAGTGATTATAGGCACCCTGTGAGTGATTTGGAGTTTAGAGTCTATAAATATGTATGGACATTTTACACAAAGAGMAATGGAGTTTATTGAGTTTTCTTCAGCTTATTGCTAATTATGGTGAGTGATTCCCATACCTTAGAGTGRTTATAGGCACCCTGTGAGTGATTTGGAGTTTAGAGTCTATAAATATGTATGGACATTTTACACAAAGAGCAATGGAGTTTATTGAGTTTTCTTCAGTTTATTGCTAATTATTTTTTTGATCAATAACAGAATTTCATTAGATTCATAAAAAATAGGTACAACAATCTAGAGAGAGTTAAAAAGACTTAACTCTCTACAAGAGAGCAAAAGCTTATTGCTAATTATGATGAGTGATTCCCATACCCTAGAGTGGTTCTAGGCACTCTGTGAGTGATCTCAGGTATTTTCTCTTCTCTCTCTCTCTCTCTCTCCCTATTTTCTTTCTTATTCCTTCAAGAAGCCATTAAATCCATCAGCAGACATAAATTTCTGATCAAAGAAGACCATTCAACATTCTCTAAGGACTAGAATTGAGCTGGTCCTACATCAGTTTGACTACCTGTGACTGAAGCATGATTGGTAGTAGCAGCACGATTACCTGTATGGGCAAAGGCAATTGATCCTCCAGTAGATGTACTTCTAGCTGCACTCCCCTAATGACGTAAATGCGTACTATACCTTTCAAATTCTGCTTTGATAGCAGCAAATGTCTCTAGAGAGGGAATTCCAGGTGGAACAGCTGTAGATGCAGTCTCATCAGATGATTTAGTGGCTATCTTAGCATTGCCCTTTTGATTACCTTTGAATCTGGTAGGATTTAAGTGTGTATGAAGCTTCCCTTATACTTTGTGTCCCACCTATTTCATGGGGTAGACAGGCCTTGAACCGACCCCCCTGAACCAATTTCAAAGAAAAAAACTAAAAAAAAATGAGAGCTTCTTACAGGCCGATACACCCCATCCGGCATATCGGACTGTATCGATATTTTGAACCTTGGTTGAAACATTTTAGGACCAGTATCACATGGACTTTCTTAAATGGATCTAAGTGTCCATGTTGGGCAAGTGACGGGTTCCACCATCCTATCAATCCTTGATTCAACAATTCTACATTCTCCTTGCTTATTTGACATAAATGAATATTTAAAATGATTAATTCCATCTTTTTTTATAACATGCTTCTAGACTTCTTGGTGCTAAATGAAATTGGCCTCTATAGATAGTCATTCTTCTTGTAGGCACGAACCACATAGAAAGGCAAAATAATGTATTTACTATCTAGCTCCTCTTTTTGACTCATTTTATGATTTTATCCATTAGCTCCAGCAAAACTGGGGAAGCTTCAAGTTTTTCAAGGAGAAATAAATATTCATTAATGTGTAATTAATTGAATTAGTAAGATATGTTGGGTTAGTAAGCTCTTGCTTGCCTCAAGTTTCTTAAAGGATACTAGACATAGGGCTGCAAATAAGTTAGATTAGATCTGATTTGAATCCGAATCCAATCCAACAAGAGCCGGGTTTGGATATCTCCCTTGACCGTAACAAATCAGATTGGATCGAAAAGTTGATCCGTTTAGTTAATGGAATTGGCCTCTATACCCCGACCCGACCTGCCACAACCCGATCCGATCTGTCAGTTATAAAATATTATATATTATTTAATATTATATTATATAAATAATAAAATATAATATGTTACTTATATTATATCATAATTTTTTTATTACAATTCTAATCAAATCGGATTCGAATCGTAAATCCAATAGGATATTTGAATTCGAATTTGAACCATACTCTTGAAAACCTAGGGATTCTTATCGTATTTGGATGGGTCAGATTTCTTATCAGATCAGATCGGATATATCCTTTACTGAATCCAGTCCGATCCGTTTACAGCCCTAACTAGACATCTCCACTTGTATTTATCTCATTCTTCCTATTCTTTATGAATAAAATTAACCATTTTTTGATGAGTACGAATAAAATTAACTGTTACAAATTACAAGAAAATAGGCATTCATTTATTTCTCTACTATATACCCTCCCTTGTTTCATTGGAAAGGTCATCTTTTTTCTTTTCTTGATAAGATGTTTAATCTTAACAATTTGTTATTCTGTTGATAAAATGCTGAAATTTAGATAGCCAGTCAATGGAAATTGGAGAAGCTAGACCTTTGGGATCAGATCTGAAGATCTTGTTCAAATAGGACCAAAGTTCAACAAACTTAGTGGCTAACTTTTAGCTATGGAATGATCTTTGCAATCTTTGGGAGCTACGCATTCAATATAGTGGATTTATTAGCTTATTTTGAGTTTGTAATCCTTTCTATCATTCTGTTGCTTATGTTTAAATAGATCTCCTTGATATTATTATTGATGAAAAAACTGTCAATTAAAACCACTAAGGACTTTTGGAGTGCATGCTATTTTTTCTTGGTGAAGAATTTTCCAAGAGACACTTTATTGCAAACTATTTATTTTGGGCATTGATGGATGGCGCTTTGCTTTTAATTTTTTCGTGCACTTTGTCTTTTTAATGGGGCTGTTGTTCTTTTAGGTGCATCAGATCAAGTTAATTTACCAAAATGCATCAATAGTCTTGAGAAGTTACTTGATGCAAAGGTGAGTGGACTACTTACTGCTAGTCTGTGACAAGCTTTGTTTCTATATTTTTGTATTCATTTTCCTTTTTTTTCTTGCTAGATGTCTTTTACAATTGTAAATTACACTCAGTTGTTGTATAAAGTATGTAGATACAGAGTGGAGAGAAGAGAAGAGAAAAGAATAAGAAAAGAATGATGAGAACCTGACAAAACTTAAATATAATTAAAACATAACTTAAGATAAATTGTCATAAATGCCTTTATGGGCATACCTACAGTTTTTTACACTCCCCCGTAAGCTGGGGCATATATGTCATTATAACCACCCTTGTTATAAATGTAGTCATTCTTCCTTGGATTAACCCTTTAGTAAACAAATCAGCCATCAAGAACCATTTTTCTTTCACAAGAACCTTTTTGTTTCATCACCAATAACCTTTTTCTCTCATAAAATGGTGTTCTACTTCTACAAGCTTGGCTCTCTTAAAAAAATTGAGTTTGATGCAATATGGACAGAAGCCTGGTTAAAGTCACAATACAACTTCATGGGTGCTGCCATAGGATTCCTATTGAAGTAGGTTCCTCATCTCATCCAAATCAACTTAAAAGTCATATGGGCCATAGCATTCAGCTTCAACACTGCTTCTTTCCACCATGTTCTTCCAAGCAACCAGATTGCCTCTTGGAGAGGTACAATTCCCTGTGGTCGATATCCTGTCATCCATAGAGATTGCCCAATATGCATCATTATATCCCTCGACCTCTAGGTAACCATTAACTATGTACAATACACCATGCCCGGAAATGCCTTTCAAGTATCACATGATTATCATAAAAGCATCCTGGTGAGGAATACATGGTTTCTACATAAACTTACTTGCCACATTGATAGTAAAGGTGATATCTGGGCTTGTGATAGTTACAAAACAACCTATACTTGCTTGGATCATTAAATAGTCACCCTTATCACTACTCAACTTTGTGTTAGGTTCCATGTTCTTTTTATTTCTAATAATATATTTTCTTTATTTATCTTCAAAGAGAAAAATAATAGGGAAAGGAGAGTGGAGAAACTCAGATCTGCCTGCCCTTATTATTTTCACGTAGTTATATCATTTTAAGGAATCCACACGTCTCATGCATGGCTCTCCTCACTGTTGATGTGTCTTCTTTGTATAACTGTAACGAACTGGCAGGCGTGGAGCTTCCTGACTCTGGGATATAGGCTGCTGCTGTTGCTGGACCTTGGGCCTGGTTCTTATCACAATCTCCACCCAATCATTCTCTCAAAACTTAATCCTTTCACTGTCTCCCACTTTAAATGTGGCACAGTTAAGAAATCCACTTCCATTTGACTAGATCTAGCTTCTTTTCCATCACCTTCACATCCACAAGAAACCCCTTTGCTTTCAGCAAGGATAGATATTAAGTAGGCAAGTTGGAGAGCACACTCTTGATAGGAGTGATTCTTCTCCGGTTCTCCCAAGTGACAAAGACTTACTTCCCAACCAGCCAATCTTTGATCAATTCTATCTAGAACCGGTCACCAAGCTAAACATGATGCGGCCTTAGCATTGATTGGAAGACCCAAGTGAAAGGAAACTCGCCCACCATACAGCCCATACAGGCCAATCTTTTCTAATGGGTGACAGAAACCTTTATTAAGCTCTTTGCCAATCTTAGACCTTGCCAAGTTGCTAGCACATTCGACCTGATAGAGCCATCAAATTTTAATTTAACTACACCTTTGTGAGGTGGTATCCAACTTGAGGACATAGCAGTTCTATTAGTGGGGGTGACTGCCACTACACTCCAGCCTCTAGGCCCTCTATATATATCATCAATATAGAAGGCTTCAAATAGCTTCATTGTTTTATTCCAATGCACTGCTTTGGCTTGTATGTGTTTCTTTACTGCATCTTCAGTTCTTTTATTTTCTTTGAAAATTCTGTTGTTCCTTTCATCGCAAATCATCCAAATAGTAGCCAGCCCTGATGTATCTCCACATAATCTTGCTCCTCTTAGTAGGGTATGGGGAAGAGGAACCTTTGAAGAGAGATTCAATATCATTGAAACCCCTCCACATGCATACAAAAAAAAAATCCACTCTTTTCTGCCAAAAAATAAAATCCACTCTCAATACCAACTGCAAACAAACAGGATATTAATAGAGGGTAGTTTTGGGTATTCGTTTGTGTTTTTTCTTGTATTCCTCTTGCACAAGTTTTCCTTTTTAATTAGTTACTTTTATCTATAGAAGGTTTTCAACGAGTAGTTTTGGGATCTTATTTATCTTCTCCCTTTTTTATTTTCTCCCTTTTCCTTCTACTCTTTTATACCACTTGCAAGCAGCTTTCACACTTAAAATGAACCCTTTCTCACAATAGAAAAAAGAAAACAAGGGAATATGATAGAAGAGTGAGAAACCTGTTCATAAATATTGTTCACATCCTACGGATGGATTTTTTATCACGAACTGTAAATTCATTAAAATATTCAAAAATAATTACAGTGTACAGAAAACAAAAGGAGATAAAATAGCTTATCTCCAATTCAAAATCTTTGCAACTGTGCCCAAAATATTTGGGTCCTCCCAGCCCCTTGTTTTGCCAAGGAATCAGCCATGCTGTTAACCGTCCTTTATACCCAATTAAATTTAAGATCATTGCCTCTGATTATCCATTTAAACCTTTTTAACTCATTTTTTTTGTAAGTCCATAACTTATCTCCCTTGTTTAGTATTCAATTAATTATCACTTGTGAATCCCCTTCAATAATCAGTTTTCTCACATTTGGCTCCTTTACTCTGCTTATCCCTTCCACTATTGCCATAACTTCAGCCTTCAAAGAGTCACTGATACCTATCGGACATGACAACAATGCCAACACATGCCCCAACTCATCCTGAAGAGACCTCTAACGCCTGAGGGGCCTGTATTCTCTCTGCTGCTCCCATCAAAGTTAAGTTTAATATACCCATCTTCAGTGGTGCCCAGTAGCCTCTAGTCCTATACTTCAAAGTCGAAGTTAGAGCCACTTTCTTCCACTTCCTCATTAAGTCATCCACTGAGAAATCCATAGGAGTGAACTACCTCCTACAGATGGATTTATTAAATTAAACTTTGATGGGAGCAGCCTTGGTAATCTAGATCCTTTTATAATAGGAGTATTTATTGTTGCTTTGTTTATAAGGGCTGAGCTTTTAGCTGTACTCCAAGGGGTGCAAGTAGCAAGAGACATGAATGTAGAGTGGTTGATTATTGAAGTGTATTTTAAGGTGTTGGTGAGCCAGTTAAGAATTCCGGAGGCTGTGGTATGGGCTTATAGAGGTGAAATTAAAAAATTCAAATGATATGTTAGCAATACGCTTACAAGGATACAACGAGTCCAAAGATTGGCTAATAGGTTGGCTGATACTTTAGCTCAGCTGGGGGTCAATAGGGAGCAATTATATTGGGCTTGGTTGTAATGTGATATTAAATTGTGGAGAGCTAACAGCTTGTACCTCTCCAAGGGATGCTTGTATTTTATGTACATATCTTGTTCCATATTTAATAAATAAAAGTTAACGCTACTTATGAAAAATAAAATGATGGAAGAGTAGGCAGATCCCATGCATGTTATAACAGTTATATGTTCTACTTGAGACCCATTGACATGTAGTTTCCAAGACTTTTCTGTATGCATTGAAGTGTATATTACAGGTAGGTCTTGGCTCCATAAAATGGACCTAAATAAGTATCAACTTTTAGTAGTGTTTATTAACTTCTTTCCCACAAATTTCACAGGTTTATTCTGTTGAAGATGAAGAACTAGAAAATTTCGTGGCATCACCAAAAGTAAAAGTTTATTATTATGGTCCTGGCATCTATAGTATTTCAAGCTGTAGTTTTACTTGCTCCAAAAAACTTGAGGAGATAAGAAGCCAGGTATTTTATTGTTTAATATATTGTCATCATTTTCCCTTTATCAAACTTTCACTTATGGCCATCCTTTTTGTTGTATGAGCAGTGCATATCATCTCTGAGCCAGAACACTGGTGATCGTTGGCAGATCAGGAAAAACAAGAAGTTGCTAAGGAAGTTGCATGAAAATATGATATTTTGTCTACAGAATCTTGGTCTTTGGGGAGCCAAACAAGTAAATTCATACTGCATGCATTTAATTACATCGAGTCTTATGATCTACCTAAGACCTATGTATTCTTGTTTTCCTTTTGCTTGTTCCATTATTTTAATGTACGATTTCCTTCTTTATGGTTTCAGCACCTTGTCTTGCATGCATTTTTGTTGTGTCTGTGTACCTGTCTGTTTTGTACAATATTATTGAGATAATTTGAATTGATTTATGTGCTTTCTGTTTATTTATCAGGGTCAATGCTTGATTCTTTATGTCTTCTCATAATTCTTACTATGTTAAAATGGTTCTAGGGCAAGAGAATCCTCCCCCCCACCCCTCTTCCTCTTTATTGTAGTTGGAGATGTCTTGAAAAGGCTTGTCCATTTGGAGGATTTATTGGGAGTTATGGGAGGTTTTGGCCTTTTGGGATAGGAAGGTTGGATCCCCTTTTGATTAGTAATTAGATTGAGAAGTTCATTAATCACAAAGATTAATGAAGTACACATCCTGGGCTGACTATTGATGCAAATATGGAAGCAGAAAAAAAATCCATGGAGAAATTGGTCAGTTTTCCAATTCCTGCACTAATTTTAGAATTTTTGGGTGATAAGACTATTGGTCTTTTTTCCATTTTCTTGTTGTATCTATCTTAAAATAGGGTGCTCTGATGTTCAACTCGAGCAGGTATTTCTTAATTTATTTACCATAGCCTAAGACAAATAAGCAAAAGTGATTGCCATGAGGTCATTGGGGATCAGATTATTTGGTGCCTAGGATTCTATAGAAACTTTGAAGATTGGGAACTGAGGGACATCTTGGATTTTCTCCTCCTACTGCAGAACCACAAACCTCAAGCCGGCTATCTTGATAAGCTGGTCTGGAGTTGGGACTCTTAAGGGATGTTTTCAGTGAGATCCCTGGTGCATAAACTGAAAACAAACAACCTCATTGACTTCCCTACAGCTTTGGTCTGGGCTTCTCTTGTCCCCTCAAAAGTTTCCTTTCTTGTTTGGACGGAAGTTTGGGGAAAATGTCGAATGAGGGATAACCTGTCAAAAAGAGGCATGCAACTTCCTGATCTCAGGTGTGTTTTTTGTGACTTTCAAATTGAGACCAGTGGCCACATCTTCATTCACTGTCCACTTTCTTGGGAAATTTGGTGTAAGGTCACTGCCACCACTGAACATCTCCTGGGCTGTTCCTAGCTCCTTTAGAGAAGCTCTGCTCTGTTGGAATATGGGGAACCTCTTACTGGAAGGTGTGGCACTCCATTCCTGCAACTATTTGCTAGTCTATTTGGCAAGAAAGAAACCAACAGATCTTCAACCAAAAAAGGGCAACACTAGCTAATATTTTGATTTACTACATGTCAGTGTTTAAAATGCCTCAATTGGTGGTGAAGAGAGTAAAAAAGGTAACGAGGTATTTCCTATGGGACTTGGGGGAGAGTAAAGGAGATCGCTAGATTAAGTGGGAAAAAAGTGTGCGGTAAGAAGGAGCAAGGTGGATTGGAAATCGGGAATGTGGATAAGAAGAATGTGGCTTTGCTAGGGAAATGATTAGAGGCTGCCAATGGAGAAATTAAAATGGTGACACAAGGTGGTGGTAAGCATTCATGGGATGAATGAAAATTAGACCTGGCAATTGGGTTGGGTGGGTTGGGTTCGGGTTGGGTCAAGACACTTCGGGTTGATTATGGGTCGGGCTGGGTTGTCAAATGCTAGACCCTAACCCTAAATGTTCGGGTTAGGGTTGACCCATGGGTCAATTCGGGTCATCCCAAAAAATAAATGAAATTCAAAAAAATAAAGAAAAACTACATGAAAATGCCAAAATTTAAAGAATTATCCTTAAAATTCCAAATATAAAATAAAAAAACTTGAACATTTAACAATTTAAAGAGTAAACAATAAATAGAAAAAAAATAAAGAGTGGAAACTTTTAACAATGCATAAATAGTCCCAATTAGACTTGACAATCGGGTCGGCGGGTTGACTTATGACCCAACCCAACCCATTTTTTTGTTGGGTCGGGTCGGGTTGGGTCATTCTCACATTCAGGTAGCTAAATATGAGACCCTGACCTTGTCTTTTCGGGTTGGGTTGGGTCGGGTTCATGGGTTGGGTCAACTTTTTGCCAGGTCTAATGAAAATGGATAGGATGTTGGACTCTCGCTTAGGGCTACTCTCGTCTCTTTTTGAAAACCTATTTATATTTTATTAAGTAAATTAATAATTAAATAACTTTTTAATTATTTAATATGTTTTGTTAATACTATATAGTCATTACTTAATTAACTTTATTATTTATTATTTAATATTTTATTGTTAGTTATTAATTATTTATTAATTCCAAATTTGTAATATTAGTAATTAGTTAATAAATTACTAACATTAATTAATATTTTTATTTTTATTACTTTATATTTTATTATTAATATTAATTAATTATTATTAAATAATTAATATTTTTATTAACTCTTTATTTTAATTTAATTAAATTATTTAATTAATACCTTATTAAATAATTAATAATTTATTAATTGGTCACAAGTCTAATATTAACTCCTAAAAATATTACAAGGAAGATGTTTTTTTGGTAAACAAGTTTCCTTCTCCTTTCCCACTTGTTTCACACCAAAATGGTGTGGTTCCACTTCCTAGGAATTGAGAACTGTAATCTCACATTTTTTCCATCGCATCTCATGACATCCCACAAACCAAACATGTGAAAGGAAGAATATTCAAGAATATTATTTTTTTCACTTCCCATCCTACAAACCAAATGGAGTCTAAGGGAAGGGATATATGCAATTTTTATGGTATAGAAAGACATTTTTCTATACTGGTACCACAAAATGTACCTTGAGTCTAAATGTTGCAACATGAGCATTAATTTTGCATCTTGTATGTTGGAAATATTGATGTTGTATTATTGCACTGATGTCATGGTGCAAAATTATGATGCCGGTATTTTTTTATACTTCAAGTGCATTTCATTGTATCAGTACCATAAGCATGTTTATCCATCATAGAGTTGCTCATAAACACACATTTTGTTCTCGATTGTCAAGTTTTGATGTCTTTCCCCAGTGAAATGATAAAATCTCAGGCTGATAAGTATGGGAACATGTGTTTGAGTCTGAGAGCGAATATTTTGTGAAAAAAGAAACTGCTAAAAAATAGGTTTTTATCTAATCTAGGCCTCCCAGGACCCTGGATAGATGGGATCATCATTGAGGCAATGGTGATGACCCTTACATATAGGAGCAGCAACAGTCGGGGGGGGGGGGGAGATGATTGTCAAATTCTGATGCCTTTCCCCAGTGGAATGGTAAACTCTCAGGGTGCCCCCTCCTGAAACCCGAAGGGAGGGAAGGGGGAGACCTAGTTCATGTTTTGCAACTGGGTTGTTTCATTTTATATTTCTTTTTTGTCCATGCCATTTCAGCAAAAGCTGGGAAACCTGCTTTGCTGACCTTGTTTAACATTTTCCATTTAAAATATGGGATTGAATCTTCTCAAATATCCCTTGTATTTTGAAGCTCAGAAAGATTGCTTTCAGAAAAGGCAAACTTTCTCTCACAAGATATGCTGTTGTAGCATAAAATGTGTTCTTGACAACCAAATTGCAAAATTCTATATTTCTAAGAAATGTTCATTTAAAACACAGTTTTTTTACAGGTATGAGACCAATTTTATGAAGAAGAAAACTTATTTTTTTGATGAACAACAGTGGAATTTTATTAAAACATAAACTGATTGAGGGTTACAATCTCATACAAGATCCCTTGGAGAGGTGCGAGCTGCAGCCTCTCCTGATATAATGCAAAGAAATTAGGAAAAGAGTACTGGAATCACATCTGAGCCCAAAACAATTCTTCCCTATCTTCCCCTTGCTTGGCTAACATATCAGCCAAAGCAATTTCTGATCTCCCCACCCACTGAAAGGAAACCGACATATTCCTTGTTAGCTATTTTCTTAACTTTGTTCTTATAGCACCAAACAGTGTCATCAGGTTTCCTTAACCAGCCCACCACCACATTTTAAAAAGGAAACGTTAAAAACTGACCAATTGCAAACTCCCTCTAGTGTATTGACTGGTAGGATCTAATCTTTTTAGCAGAAGATAACACTGCCTTGGAAATTGATTGATAGATTATTTATTTTCTTTCTTTTTCTAAGGTTCCGTTTGGTTTGTGGGATGGGGATGAGAAAAAGGGAATATTCCAAAAATATTCCCTTTTCTCATATTTGTTTTGAGGGAAAGAGGGGGATGGGATGAGAAAAAGGTGGGATGTGAGATCCCAAAATCGTGGATTCGGGGTTGCACCAAAACAGTGCGACCCCGGTGGGAAAACTCGAGAAAATGACCATGCCGAAGGTCCCACGCGTATTAACAGCAAAGTTTCTGCTACCTTGACGAAGCGGGGACAAATGGATCCCAGAAATCCCAGCTTGAAGGTGGTGGTCGAGGAGGAGGAGGTAGAGCTGGAGAGGCAGTGACAGAAGTCCAGTTATTGGAACTTGGGCTCATAGGTACTGGTGGAGGGGGTGGCAGAGTCGGCGGCAGAAGTGGCGGGGAAGGGAGAACAGGGGGTAGGTGGTGTTGGGGATCGTGGTGACAGTGGAGACTGGTTTCAGCGTTAGCAAACTGCAGCAGAGCAGAACCAGTACCTCTAAGGGAGCGAAGATACATGGCATGTGCTGCAGAGAAGGAAGACAGATCTTGTCTATATCACACTCGATCACCTCCTCTACCTTCAACTCTTCAACACTGATCTCGTCTTCTTCCATTTCATTCGGACAATCCCACTCACTACCTCTTCTTCTTCTTCTTCTTCTATCTGTGTCTCTGTGTCATGGGGAATCGAGAATAAACAAGTTACAGTGGCAATCGAGAATAAACAAGTTACAGTGGCAATCGAGAATAAACAGAGAGGTTGAAATGAGAAGAAGAAGAAGAAGAAGAAAAAGAAGAAGAGAGGAGAAAGAGAGTGGGAGAGGTGGGAGATGAAGGGGGTAGCCATCGCCTCTGTTCGTCTCTAATGAAGGAAGGTGAACAGTGCCATTTCAGTCCCCTTTTACACTTTCCCATCCCATCCCATCCCAATAAAACCAAACAATGGAAAGTTAAATTTTTACACTTTCCCATCCCACCCAAATCTTCCCACAAACCAAACGGAGCCTAAGGGATTGCTTTTCCTTTATGTTGTAGATTTATCCTAATTGTTATCTCTCTCTCTCTCTGTCTCTCTCTCCCACTCCTTTCTTTTTCCTTCGTTCAATTTAACTTGCTATGCATTTTTATTCATGGAAAAGGCTGCTTCCGTCCTGCTAAGTGGTGATCGCTTTGAGTGGAACGAATTGACCGAGACAGAAGACAATTCTTGTAACAAGTCTGTAGCTGATCAATATTTAAGTCAAACTACTTTGGTGTTTGATTCTTATTTCAACAAGGGTATGATTCTTATGCTTTTAAAAGTTTCATATTTTGAGACTTCTATGGATAATGACTTAAATGTAATTGTATACTATCTTTTTGTTACTTTTGCACCTGCCAAGGAGTTTAAATCCACTTTCACTTGATAGGTCACCATAAATGTGTTCAACAATGTTTTAGAATATTCTCTACAGAAATGTTTAAATCACAAACCAGTAATACAACTAACCATATGTGCCGTATTTACTTTATTTGGATGATTTTCTAGATGGCATGGGATCTGACTCATCTTGTCTGGAGGCTTTAAAGGAGCCATTTTTCTCGGAAAAGCTATTGGCTCTTCTTGAAATTCTTTCCAACTATAGGTTGGTATCTGATGTATGTTTCATTCTTTTATTAGATTCAAAGAGACATGTTGTATTGAATTGACTGATTTATTTAGGTTTCATGGTTCTTCTATTTGGGAATTCCTTTTTTGTAGTCCTTTAATATGATAATATATGAGAAAATTATTCATTAAAAATGTGAGAACATTTGATTCTATTAAACATATTATGTGATGATACTCTTATGGTGTGTCCAACTTGGGCTGGGTTCATTTCAAAATCAATCAACTGAATCTGACATCTGGATATTGGATTGGGCTGGCATTTTAGGAGTTTTATTGGGCTTGGGTCTTCTTGCTGATTATAGTAGGTTGCATGCCTTGGTCTTTACTCTTGGCCTTCTTTCTGATCAAAATCAATCAACCGTCTTAGTAGGAACCCACTGAAACGACTGTTTAGGCAAACACTTTGACCCTGCACTCATCTGAACTGTTTGTGGGGGAGATGATAGATCCAAAGTTTTGTCTCCTGCAAGAGCCTTAGAAAACTGATTCATGTGACCACTTAAAGTGTCATATGATCTAATCTCCATCATTTGTTCAACCGGCTGGTTCACCCTGGGTAATAGGTTAGTCTAACCTCGATTGGGTCTGAATTGGCCTTAGATTGCTCTTTCATTGCCAAGTGTGTACCCTGCACCGGTTCAGAGTTTACCCCTCTCTTGATCTCTTCGATAAAGTTGGACCCACTCCCCTTAATCAATTTACTTTCAAAAATTTTTGAAAAACTTTCTTTTTCTTGACAAACTTCTGGTTCACTTTCGGATTTTGGCTGTTCACCTTCCCATAGTAATAAACTGTTGAATCTGTCAGTTTTTCTTTATTTTAGTGCCGCAGGGGCACATATGCAATTTTATCTTTTTATTATTAGAGTGGGTCGCCCTAATATAAATACTAAAAAGACTGGTGCCGCCAGTCATAGTTTTGACTTCAAATCTCTTCTCTCTTCTCTGCTCTCACTGTTCTGAATCTTTACCGTGTTTTTTACCAAGAAAACATGGTATCAGAGCGACAGATCTGTGATTAGGAGCAGTGCAATCAGCCTTTTTCTCTCCAGAATTTTTTTTCCTGTCTACTGTGGATCGAATCCAAGAATGGGTGCATCGGGTTGATGTTAGGAAACTGCCTAACTCAGGGCTCTTCGAGGGAGCCAACCTCCTGAATTCGATAGTAGGGAAGAGAGAGAGAGAGAGAGAGAGAGAGAGAGAGAGAATGCCGAAAGATTCATCCTTTATTTCCTGTGTCTGACTATTTATACTGTTTTACAGAGCTCCTTACATTCTTTAATTCCTTTCTGTTAAAACTTCTGCAAGTGGACGGTTAGTTAGCTGAGTTGTTGTGCTGGTGTGGCCTTCTCTTGTAGAGCTGACTAACTGTCTTCTGTTGTTGTGTTTCAGCGGTCTTAGCAATCTCTCCCTACCTTGCCCTCAAGGTCTAATGTGGGAAAATTTGATTGCAGATCCAAGTAAGATTCCCAGGTTGCATCTTCTTCTGGGAGTTTAGACCAAACAACTAGTGCTTCTGGGATGACTTTTCCGCCACGTCGCACCCATCTGAAATCAATGATGCGAGCTGGCTCAGTCTGCACTTGTCCATCTGAAAATGTGGGAAGAGTAGTACTTGTAATGACTCCTGGCTTCGGCCCTTTCCTTCAGTAAGGAGATATGGAATACAGGGTGTAACTTTGAAGTTGCCTGGAGGTCCAGTTTGTATGCCACAGACCCTATTCTCTCAAGGATTTTAAATGGTCCAAAATAGCGCGGGCTGAGTTTGTTCCACTGTCGGCTTGCTACTGAAATTTGTTTGAAAGGATGTAATTTGAGAAATACCTAATCACCGAGTTCATATTGGACATTCTTGTGATGTTTATCATAAGTGCGCTTCATCCATTGTTGTGCTTGCAAGAGATGATTTCTCAGCTCCTTTAACACCTCATCTTGTTGTATCAATTGTTCTTCTAAGGCTGCTACTGTAGTGGTCCCTTTTTCATAAGGAAGTAGAGGGGGAGGGTCCCGACCATATAGAGCTCTGAAGGGCGTCATCTCGGCAGCGCTACGGAAAGTAGTGTTGTACCACCACTCAGCCCAGTGGATCCACTTCACCCATTGTCTTGGTTGATCTCCCGCGAAGCATCTCAGATATGTTTCAAGACTCTTGTTAACCGCCTCTGTTTTCCCATCAGATTGGGGGTGGTAGCTAGTTGATTTGAAGAGCTTAACCTCATGCAGACGAAAAAGTTCAGCCCAGTAACGGCTCATAAAAATAGGGTCCCTGTCAGATACAATTGAGTTGGGGAGCCCATGAAGGTGCACAATTTCCCGGAGGAACAATTCAGCAACTGTGACTGCTGTAAATGGGTGTGATAGAGGTAGGAAATGACTGTATTTTGTCAATCTATCCACTACCACAAGGATAACCGTTTTACCGGCACAAACGGGCAATCCCGTGATGAAATCCTTTGATATATCATCCCAGACTTTGGGTTGGGATTGGGAGTGGTTGCAAGAGGCCTGCTGGTGTTGTAGTAGCTGACTTATTTTGTTGGCATACTGCACACTCGGCTATGAAGTTCTGAATGGAGGTATGCATGCCTTTCCAATGGAATTGTGTGGCGATGTGTTTTTGTGTTCGTAGGATGCCAGAGTGACCACCTGTGGGCGAGGCATGGAATAATTCAAGGAGCTTCCTGAGATGTGCAGAATTTGCTGGGATTTCCAGGCGTCCTTTGAAAAATAGTAGATCATCCTTGACGGTATACCCAGGGTGCTGTGATGGATTTGCCAATATTTGGGCCTTCAATTGCTGTAACTCCATATGGGAGTGGGCTTCTTTTTGAAGCTGATCCATGAGTGGAGATGTTGGGGAAGATACTAGTAGCTGAAATGATTGTAGGTGCCGTGAGAGGGCGTCGGCCACCCGGTTAGCAGCCCCTGTTTTGTACTCAATTGTGTAGTTGTACCCCAATAGTTTGGATATCCACCGTTGTTGTTCTGGTGATAGGACTGCTTGTTCTAACAAGAACTTCAAACTTTGATGGTCAGTCCGAATTATGAACCGTCTATCAAGCAAGTAGGATCGCCAATGCTGTACTGCTAAGACCACTGCTATTAATTCTTGTTCATAAACTGATTTGACCTACTTTTGTGATGTTAAGGCCTTGCTGAAAAAGGCTAGTGGTTTGCCTTCTTGCATGAGGACAGCCCCAACACCTTGATCAGAGGCATCACATTCAATGATGAAGTCTTTTGTGAAATCGGGCAGTGCTAATGTTGGAGGTGTTGAAACAGTATGCCTCAATTGCCCAAAAGCTTGTTGGGCCTGGGCTGACCAGTGAAAGGCATCTTGTTTTAGTAATTGGGTCAAAGGGGCAGCTATTAGGTCGTAGTTTTTGATGAAGCGACAATAATACTTTGTCAGGCCCAAGAAGGCCCTCAATTCTTTCACATTTTTGGGTTGCAACCAGCCCAATATACTGGAGATTTTATCCGGGTCTGCTGCTACAGTTCCATTTTCTACAACATGTCCCAAGTAATATACTTGGTTTTGTCCAAAGGAGCACTTGAACTCTTTAGCGAACAACTGATGGACCTTAAGTGTTGCGAGGGTGACTTGTAGATGATTTAGATGTTCCTCCCAGTTGGGGCTATAGACCAATATGTCATCAAAGAAAATAAGAATGAACTTACGTAAATATGGCTGGAATATGTCATTCATTAAGGTGATGTAGCTAGGGCAGAGTTTCTAGCTGCAGTATATGGGGTTGAGAAGGCCAAAGAGCTAGGGGTTAGTAGACTAATCATCGAGGGAGACTCAAAAGTTGTGATAAAATGGCTACAAAAAGGGGAAGGAGTGACCTGGCAGCTGAAGAATGATTTCAGAATGTTCAAACGGATGTCTAGAAATATGTCTATTCAGGTGGGTTGGGTTAGGAGATCGGCCAACAGCTTGGCTGATAGCTTAGCAAAGCAAGGGGTTCAAAGAATAGAGATGTTTTGGGCACTTTTGTAATGTTGTCTTGGGTCAGCTTCTATGCTGATTTCTTTGTAACTTGTTGTATATTAAAGCTTCTTAATTAATGAAAATTTTTAGAGTTATTGATAAAAAAAAATTTCATTCATTAAGGCTTGAAATGTTGCTGGAGCGTTGGTCAACTCAAATGGCATGACCAAGAACTCGTAGTGGCCATCACGTGTCCTAAAAGCCGTTTTGTGAACATCCTCCCTATGTACCCTTATCTAATGATACCTTGCTCGTAAATATAATTCTGAGAATATGCTGGCCCGACTAAGTTCATCAAGCAATTCATCAATGATCGGTATTGGAAATCGGTCCTTAATGGTGATATTGTTAAGGGCCCTATAATTAATACAAAATTGCTACGTCCCATCCTTCTTTTTGACTAATAATACCCGTGAGGAGAATGGGCTGTGGCTGGGCTGTATTATTCCTTTCTCAAGCATATCTTGAACTTGCTTCTCGATTTCAAATTTTTGAAAATAAGGGTATCGGTAAGGTCTTACATTGGTTGGGGCGGCTCCTGGCATGAGAGGAATGCGATGGTCATGCTCTCGGGGTGATGGAAGCTCTTGGGGTTCTTTGAACACGCTGCCATATTGCTGGAGGAGTTGCTGTAGGCGGCTTTGATAGTCTCCCGACCCATTTGAGTTGCTGTTAGCTAAGGATGGGTCGGTCCAATTTGAGTCCATGTGCATGAATATGGGCTGATCCGGATCTCCCATTTGCTTTGTTAGTGTTGCAAGACTGATGGGCCTTTGACCCTTGCATGTTTGCCCTTGTAGATGGATTGTAGAGTTCCTCGATGTGAAGTCCATGGTGAGACGAGCCCAGTCACAGATCACGGGGCCTGTCTTAACCACTGAATGCCTAGCACCACGTCTACTCCACTGTGACGAAGGGGATATAGGTCCACTGAAAACCGGTGACCCTGAACCTTTAGTGGTAAGCCCACGCATATACTAT